CGGACTAGGTGCGTTCTACTAAGTCGCCCTGACAACAAGACCAAGTTGGGACAACGAGGTCAACCCACTTTTATCTTTGCTGTGTTGCCAAACCGCAAATTAACCGTCAATGTAACGAACTAATAACTTTGGAACTAGGACTGTCTCTTTAAATACGCAAACTTCAAATTGGGTCATGTAGTTATTAGCTAAAATAGAGGCTAAACAGGATCCCATAGCCAAACCCCTTGTCAGCTCAAACAACTTACCATTTAAGGTTAAATATTTATTATACATTGTCAAATTAACTAATCTAATTATTGAACCTTTGCTTAACTTTTTACCTGTTATGTATTCCGGGTGTTGATGCGGAGTTATTTCTAACCGCTTCATTGCCTCGTTTATGGGAATGTGAGTGTACATAGACACTACATCGAAACTTACCCGCAAATCTCCTCTTTCTATCGTCCGATCACCAATTAACTTGATAAAGTCGTGGGAATTCTTAACTGAAAACTTTCAAGTTTCGGAAATTTGCTTTAACTGAGTACATATATAAATCGTGATGTTTTATGCATCACGCTACCTCTATCATTTATAATAATCATAAGTGGATTACCTTGCTGCCACGGTTGTGCATACGAAAGCCTAGCGCATTTTTATCGGGGTCGCATTACGATGAGCCAAGGACTTGTTCGCACAATTCAATAGTCTTCCTTACGCGACATTCATCCTTCGGTTTCTGGTGAGACCACATCACGAATTGCTTCCAACCAACTTTCCTTTCGAAATGAAGAATAATGCCACAATATTTCATTAAGGAATTCTTCGAAACCTAGTTTTTATTCATATCTTCGAAGTAGGAGATAGCCACATCAGAACATTTTAGTGTTAGTAATACAAACTTGTGTTCGAGGCGAATAATTAATCATAGCATGTCATTTCATGAGGGACTTTGAAGAAATCTTACTCCATACTGCATTTTGTCATTGATATCCTGTTTGTTTTTAACTTTAGACCGATGACGAACATTTCTCCAACATTCTATTAGAAATAGTCAGTAAAGAGTGCCAGACTTGCCGTAGTCCGTATCTAGATCGTCAAAAAGAAAACCAAGATGATGAAAAATGTCTGCGACCAAACCAAAGGTCACACCCTCTTGAGCGTCATGGCCACCAGCTCATTATGTTAATGAGATTACCGGTCAGGGAAGACAATCATTGGTGTTAAAGATACCGCTTCTAACTGGCAATGCCAAATAAGACGCCCCTGAAACGTCCAGGAAAGTACCGAGTAAACAAAAAAAAGCAACAATGGCAGTTAATATGAGTTGTTTTCATCCCATTTCATTTAAGTTAATGAAAAACTAATAGTTGATTTTTCCCACAATGATATAAGTGCAACTGATATTTTTCATTGAATTTCACATAGCCTTGCTTTCCCAAAAGATGTCCTCATCCAAGCTGGACTGCAATTTTAACCTCGCATAGGTCTTATCAACACCCTAAGCGGGAGTGAAACCATGACAATGCAGCATGTAAGCTCGACACGTTAACCACTACGCCACATTGCCACGAATCCAGTTGAGTCAAAAGACAGATGTGAATTTTGAGGAATGTCAGGTATTTTCCATATAACATTGAGTTGGGATTGTCGATGAAGCAACTTATATTTGCTCTAGCAATCGACTACACTACTTATTTCGTGAGTGAGCAGGTTTTTGAGATTATCAGTAAATCAGATATGAGTTGTTTTTACCCTATTTCGTTTAAGGTGATGAAGGACTGATAGTTGAATTTTCCCACAATTATATGAGTTGAGCTAATATTTTCCATTGAATTTCGTATAGCCTTGCTTTCCCAAAATGTGCTCTCTACTCACTCAGAAAAAATGTAATATCGTCGATTGCTATAGCAAATGTAAGATGCTTCATCGAAAATCCCAACGCAGAATGCGATATTGGAAAATGCCTTGAAAATTCACATCTGCCACCCAGGGCCACACATGGCAATATGGCGTAGTTGTCAACTTGTCGAGATAACACGCTGCCCTGTTATAAATCGAGTCCCGCTAGGGGAGTTTATAAGACCTAGCCGAGATCGAAACTGCAGTCCATCCTTGATGAGAATATCTTTTGGAAAGAAATTATGTGAAATTTAATGGAAACGTCATGTCAACTCATATCGTTTGGGGAAAATTCAACTATCACTCCTTCATAATCGTAAACGAAAAGGGTGAACAGAGCTCATACGTGTCACTATTAATGAAATTTTATAAATCATTCGAAAATCTTGATTAGGCAATTAATTTCATCTGAGTTTTGGAGACAATACAAGGGCCTTACGGTTTCATCGAATTTTTTTATCGCCTCGTCTCTCCAAGGGCTTTCTTGTCCCAGCTAAACTGTGGCTACACTCTCGTCTTGGTCTTCTCCAAGAAGTCACTAAGGTATCGAGATTATATGCTGCATTATCACGGTTCGAGACCCTCTGAGGATGTTGATTAGATCGATTCGAGGTCAAAACTGCCCTAAACTCCGGCCGGGATGAGAATACCACTAGGGAGGCAAGGCTACGCAAAATTCAACGGGAGCCTGACGCTCACTCGTATGATTGAGGGAAAATTCAACTTTCAGTCCATCATCACCTAAGACGAGAAAGCCTGAATGCATCTCGTAAACCTACTTAAAAAACGGAAACTATTTATCGCCTTAGGCCATGCTACCTGGTTTACTTATAAACACTTTTTTTAGCTAATTTCTTCTTGTTGATGCGTTTTTTTATGCCGGTACTTTGAGTGCTTTGGCTCATGCCTCAATCCTACTTACCTCCTTCTCGCCACTGGCCAGTCTGGATGACATTCGTGCTATTAGGCTTTCATAGTCGGTCTGCATCTGCCTCAGGGCGGGATCAATTAGACAAGGTTGGTGCCCAGTCAACTGATAATGGTCGGCTAAAAGACCTGTGAACCGGGACTCCTGTTGGCGTACTTCTTCGATAAAGTCCTGTCAACAGTGTGGAATAGAAGGGAAAGTGGTAAATCGTAATGGGGATAAAGGAGAGGCCAATGCCATAATGACAGTTATGCGGAGGGCAATGGTGATCGTGTTTATAACGGGGTAATATAGGTGAGCATGGGTAATGCAAGCAAAATGACAGTAATGATGATGATGTTGACGATTGGAGTGATGGGGATGGCAGGGAGGATAGAAAAGATGTCGAAGGTGATGGTGGTAGTTAAAGTGTCGGGTGGGTGGATAGGAGAGGGGCCTGCAAACGAACGAGGAACCTGAGAAGACAATATATTCGTAAAGGTTTGAGGTAAATGGAATACATTAATGGTTAATTCATAGTTTATTTCAAGTAAAAATGAAGACAACTTGTTTTCGCAACATAGTAAAGAGACAAGTGAAGCCGATCCTTTGACCAAACGTGTGCTAAACAATTGTGGTATCTCCCCTTCTTTCGCTCAAAAGCAGCACACCACACTATATCTACATAAATACGGTAAAAATTGTAATAGTGAAGGCATGATAGGATGCTACCATAAACGTGAATAAGCCAGGGCAGAAGGGGAGATACCACAATTGTTTAGCACACGG